ATTATTTGCTTATTTAAGTTAACATATACTATAATTTTTATTAATGTAACAAATGATATATATTTATTATTACTAAATAAATAAAATTTATATATTATTAATAATTTAATATTGCTAATAAATTAATATCAATAATATTTTTAGTATATTTATAGATAAATTGATAATTTGATAAATATAACTTAGTATATATTAATATACTTTTACAAAAATATAAATATAGTAGATAAGATATGTATATCTATATTTTTGTAAAAGTATATTAATATATAATAAGTTATATTTATACTTTTGCATAGTTTATTTGTTTCTCTTAGGGTTCTCTTAAGAACCCACAGAGTACTCTAATCCATACAATAAACATCTTACTCATATATGTGACACCCTTACTACCCCAACACATATATAATATAATTCAATTAAGAAGAATAAACGTACTGTGATGGTGAGTGTAATGACCTGCCGGGTCGTTACAATTATTTCTATGCTCTTTTAATAATTTAAAATTATTAAAATTAAAGAAAAAATAAAATTATTTATAAAGTTTTTTTAATCATCTTTCAATGTCCTTAAAATATTACTAATTGAAAATAATATTTTTAAAAATATTAAAAAGTATAAAATTGTTAGCGATAAGTAAAAATAAAGATAATTTTTTAAATGTTATGCATATATATTTAATTTCTAAAAACGTTTTTGGGAAGGGAGTATAAAATCTAATAATCTAAATTTCTTTAGTTAAATGAAATATTTCATTCCAGTAAAAAATATTATGTTATCTTAAAATATATAAATATTCTTAAAAATATTTATGATGAATTAAACATATCATTTTAATAATTGATTTCAAACATGAAACAATTTCTCTTCTACCTAAAACATTTTAAAAGAAATATATTCTTAAACTTAATATATAGCATCAATCTTTATTTTTTTTTTATTCATAAGATTTACAATGATCACAATTCCAACTAAGTAACTTTACTTGAAATTTTTTTGTGCTCCCAAGTAAAATCCTTTAGTAGCTTTTATTCATCAATAATCTTTTCAAATATTTTTCTTGATCTCTTATCCCAGTCAAACAATCATTTGATTTTCATTTTCAGATCGAATTTTGATGCTTTAAAAAATAATTATAAATAGTTAAAAATATTTTTTTAATCATACTATATCATAAATCCAAATATACATTTTATATTAAAATATTTATATTTATTTATTATAAATTTTAATTACAGTTTCATGATCATGTACTTGTCAAAGAGAAAATCCTACTAAATAAGTCAACCAAATTCTTAAAAAAGATTTTAATCTTCGAAAGAATATACTCATCAATAATAATCAAAATTAAAACTTTTATTTTTTAAAAGTAGTAAAAATGCAAACAATAATAAAAGAAAAGAAGAACGAGAAGTAAAAAAATGAAATGGGTCAAAAGAGGTAGATGCAAAAATTTCGAAGGAATCGGATCCGTTAATTAATCCCACATTATTACTGAATTAAATCCCATGTCGCAGGATCTCTCTCTCTCTTCTTTCTTTCTTTCTTTCCTTTTTCCCTTTTTTTTTCAAACACCACAGCGTAGCATTCTCCTTATATAACAACACCCTTCACAAACAAACACTAACACAGACACACTCACTTTCTCTCTCTCTCTCTCTCTCACGCACACACTTTCCGTTGAACAGAGTCTTCTTCAATGGCGACCCCGTCTTCTTCTGTGAAGCCCCTTCCTGTGCTGAAGGATGAGCTTGACATCGTGATCCCCACCATCCGCAACCTCGACTTCCTCGAGATGTGGCGTCCCTTCTTTGAGCCCTACCACCTCATCATCGTGCAAGACGGTGACCCCAACAAAACCATCAAGGTTCCTGAGGGCTTTGATTATGAGCTCTACAACCGCAACGATATCAACAGGATCTTGGGTCCTAAAGCCTCCTGCATCTCCTTCAAGGACTCTGCTTGTCGCTGCTTTGGGTACATGGTGTCCAAGAAGAAGTACATCTACACCATCGATGATGACTGCTTCGTAATTACGATTGCCCAGCTCTTGTTTTTTTGATTTTTGCGAGTTTTTTGATGGATTAATTGTGGGTTTTGGGTAAAGGAGGGAGCTTGGGTGGTGGGTTGTGATGGGTCGGGTGGTTTTGTTTTTTCTTTTGGGGTGAATTGGTTTTGATTTGATTTTTGTTGTTGGAGATCCCACGTCGATTTGTGGGGTTTAGTTAAACCCGGATGTGGGATCGTGAGGGTTTTTGTGTGGGGGGTTTTGAAACGGTGCTAGATCTAACGTCGATTTGGTTGATTAAGTGGTTGCTGGGTTTGGATTTGGGTTGTTTGAAGTGAGGTGAGGGAGTCTGGGAATGGGGGATTAAATGGGGATATTTTGGCAAATTTGATGATTTGTTTTACGGGGAATGTGACATTGATTGTTTTGTTATCGGTGGCTGAAATTGAGGAGTTGGATCTGTTGTTTTTCGTTGTTGTACGAGGTGTGAGATTGTTGGAGTGTGTTTGGAGTGGGCTGGTTTTGGAGTGGTTTGATTGTTCGGGAATTGTTCACTTGGATTTGGGTGAATTTGATTCGATTTGATTTGGTTTTTGGTTGTTTGATTTATTTGGTTTGTGCTTTTTTTTTAAAAATTATTTGGATGTGTTTTGCATTGGAATGACTGGGTTTTGGATTTGTAAATTGGCTTGTTTGTTTGGGAACGTTTTAAAGTAATGTTTTATTTGAATTTGGATTGCTTGATGATTTGAAATTGGTCCACTCGGAATTGTTTGGATTTGATTTGATTTTCGATTTAATTGTTTGAATTATTATCTTTTTTATTTATCTGTTTTAGCCCATTTTAATATTTTTTATTACATTTATGAAAGTAAAATTATTAAAACAATGTGATTTCCACTTAAAAGGTTTTCCGAACTTCCAGTTGGATTTTTTATGTTAGGTTTTTCACATAAGTTGATTTTTTAAATTGAACACAACCAGATGCACCGACAAGCTCGGTTGTTACCATAGATTACAAGAAAAAAAACCTAGATCTACCCACTGTTGACATTCATTAGGATTTCTTTTTTCCTTTGCTGAATGATTATGAGATAAATAAAAAAAACAAGTATTTTTTTAAATCATTTTCATCTAATATTTTTAGAACTATTCAACTTCTTTCTTTTTTCTTTTACCTTTTTTTTGGCTTTCATGGACACAATGATTGCTATTCAAATAAAAAGTGAGTTTTCTTGTCTTATTGTCTCTGTTTCCTGTTGTTTTATGAATCTGAGTTTCAAAGAAGGAATGAAATATTGACTGTGGCTTGTTATTGTTGTCAGTAAAGTGTTTCTATGGTACTGAAAAACAACATGTTGATTCTTCTGACACGGTTCAAAGAATGTACTATGTTTAACACAAATTGTATGTATGATTTTCTCAATATTTTCATGTTCAGGTTGCTAAAGACCCCTCTGGAAAGGATATCAATGCTCTTGAGCAGCACATTAAGAATCTCCTATGTCCATCCACTCCATTTTTCTTCAATACCCTCTATGACCCTTACAGAGAAGGTGCTGATTTCGTCCGTGGATACCCTTTCAGTCTTCGTGAGGGTGCCCCCACTGCTGTTTCTCATGGCTTGTGGCTCAACATACCTGATTATGATGCTCCTACACAGCTTGTTAAACCCCTTGAGAGGAACTCCAGGTATGTACTATGTAACTGATTCATTGTGGCCACTAAATAGTTTATAACTTTAGAGTTTAATTTTGATGCATTACATTGTTAATGAATTCCAATTAGATGTTGATGGCCTGGTTTTGTTTGCTAAGTTAATGAGTTTTTTTGTCTTCAGGTATGTTGATGCTGTTCTCACCATTCCTAAAGGAACATTGTTCCCTATGTGTGGCATGAATCTGGCCTTCGACCGTGAGCTCATTGGACCTGCCATGTACTTTGGACTCATGGGTGATGGTCAACCTATTGGACGATACGATGATATGTGGGCTGGATGGTGTGTTAAGGTATGCTAATCATGTGTCCCTTTCTATTCATGTGAGTCAAGAACCACTTGATCTAGTGCTATTCAAGTGGTTTTGGGTTTAGTGCTTGTTTTAATCCTTAGTATATATTTTTCTTATAACCATGTTATTAGTACAAGTATGCATCAACTGATTTGTTAGAAAATTTGATTGATCACTTTTAGTTGGTTCTCTTTTCTGGACCACATTCTTTTTTCATCCACTAGATTTGAATCTGAAACTTTACTAAAGTTTACTGAATTTAGTACCACTTCGACCAACAATTTGTTGGTATCTTTAGTTTATTTACTTTGCTACACTCCACTACTAATTACATAAATGCCACATTGTTTATTATTGAATGAATTTAACTGGAATACATTGACAGTGTAAAAGTTACATGGTGATCCAATCATTAAATGGACACGTAGTTGAAAATTGCTGACTTTTGTAATGATTACTTCAAAAGTTATATCTGAGTGGATTTTTAACTGGTTGACAATATAAAACCCTCCAAAACTAAGTACAAGCCGTGTATGAAAATTAAACTCTTGTTTTATGTCCTAATTTCAACAATTTGTGAAGAAATGACTTCTATATAAATCATCCACATTACTACTACTACTTAAAATTGTTTTCAAAAATGTTGACAACTCTTGTATGAACTTGCAGGTTATCTGTGACCACTTAGGTTTGGGAGTGAAAACTGGGTTACCATACATATGGCACAGCAAAGCAAGCAACCCATTTGTGAATCTGAAAAAAGAGTACAAGGGCATCTTCTGGCAAGAAGAGATCATTCCATTTTTCCAAAGTGCCACCCTTCCAAAAGAGTGCACCTCTGTCCAAAAGTGCTACATTGAACTCTCCAAGCAAGTCAAAGAGAAGCTTGGGGCCGTTGACCCCTACTTCAACAAGCTTGCAGATGCCATGGTCACTTGGATTGAAGCTTGGGATGAACTTAACAATACTTCTGCACCAAATTCTTCAGAACAAGCTAATGGGGTTGCTGCCAAGTGAACCCTTTATGGTTGAGGACTTTAGTTTTCAAGCGGAGTAGTTTCTTGTCATTTTAAATTTACTGTCATCATCGTTATTATATTTGTTATCATTATTATAATTATTATTTTTTCATTATGCAAGATTATAGACCAGTTTATTATTATTATTATTAATATTATTAATGTCGTCATTATTACTATTTATTGTATTTCAGTATAATTTTTCCTCTGCTTAGTGGATGAGTTATTCTAATTTAGTGCCGAGTCTTGAAGGATTGGAATTTTGTATCATTAGTGATTTGGTTGTTAGAAGATGACATCTAGCTGTGGGGATGCTTTTGTTACATTTTCTGTCATTTTTAGTTATGCAGATGTTTTAGTATTTTATTCATTAATTGTTATATTGGTATTCGTTAAATTTCATGAATTTTAAAATGCTATCACCCATGTGTTACAGATTTGTTGACCGCCGACAGATCTAATGTGTGATGTTGATCTGTTTGTTTTATCAAATAAAATTAACTTTAAATGTTCAAATTATTTTATTTTATTTCTAACCTGATTTGTGTACTTTATTCAACTTGGTGTTAGTGGTTTGATATTTTAAGGTTCTTCGTTTTCAAAAAAAAAACGCTAATCACAACTTGGTCTTGGGTTATCAAAATGCAAAAGGTGAAAACATGGTGGGGAAGATAGTGTTATGGCTAATTAAAAACATAAAAAAAAAATAACTACGAAAAATGTTTTTATGTTCTGTATACATTAACTTTCCTTTTCGCATGACAATTCCATCTAATTGTTTATATAGGTTTTCATTCTTCTATTTTGCAGTTTTTGATGTATCTTAATACTTGAAACTTACTTTTTTTTTTCCCTCTTCATATGTTCATACTTGGATATTGATTTTTTTCTTTGTAGATTTAAGCTTTTGAATAAAAGAAGCAACATATTTAAACCTTTGAACTAATAATAGCCTTGTATTGCTTGGGCTTGAAAAACATTAACGTGTGTAAAATTTTAGGACCACTTTAAATTGTTTTGCAAATACGTTATCACATTGGAATTTATAATTTTCAATTACCAACTTTTCTGTCTATATAAGATAGATGACTTTAAATTTAAACAACATTAACGAATAATTTAAAGAGAATAATAAGCATTTTGTTACCAATATGAAAAAAAGAATTATTCTATCAAAGATGAATAAATTAAAGAAACGAGATTTTTAACATTGATTATAAAGTTCTAGAAATAAATTATTTTAAAGTAAAATATTAAAATCAAGACACAATCTTGTTGATATGATATGCCAAATATTAAAACTCCAGCATTAAATTCATTTTAGGATTGATTTAAATTAGAATAGTTCCAAATTTCTTTATAAGAAAAAGAAATATACGTTCAATTTGACAATATTAAAATTAAGAAGCATCATATGAAAATGATAATGTCTCTTAAAAATACTTACCGAAAAACAATGATTCAAAATTAAAATATAGGGTTTTGTTTTTAATAGTAATTATGAAGTTTCACCTTATTATGATTTTTTTTTTATTTTCAAATATTTATATATGAAAGACTGAAAATAAAAAATAATTTATACAGTATTTCATATAAATATTTGTGTCGAGTGTAGTGGGATCCACACGCAATCTATTGTTTGCTGGTCAACTTAATGATTTGTATGTCTGTACCTTTTAACTTTGCATTGCATTTTGTAATGTGAATCATTTAAATTCAAAAATTTCCATTCCAAGGAATTTTCACGCATTAATCTGCGGTGTCGGTGAGGCATTGTGTCCATTTTTGTTTGGCATCTTAATTAATTTGAATGTCTGCATCTTGTGAATGTTTTGAATTCAAAATTAATGGAAGATAAAGAAATATAAGGGTCACTAAAAAGAGAGGCAAAAAGATAAGATTCATAATGAAGGCAGCGGTTCTGTGATTCCATTTTATTTTGCTTTTGCTTTTAATGTAATATTAATTATTGTTTTATCAATTTGTCCCTTTATAAATTGTTCAACAATAGAAAGTAATGCATTTATTGAGAGTGTACTATTTTAATAAAATTGAATAATAAAGAGGTATATTTATGATTATATTTAATTTATGTGTGAAAATTATGAGGACCCTATTTTCATTTCCCATTTTTACCCTGACACATTTTTCAGCCCCATTCACTCTTCCTCACACAAGACTTTCTTTCCCTCTAAACCCTCATTCATTTTCTCTCAAATTTTCTTGTGGTGAATCTTGGTGACCGTAGGTGCAAGTGGTGTGAGAGCTGATTCCTTGTCTGAGGGTTGATTCCGCAAGCTTGTTCTTCCTCTCCGTTCAAGCTCTTTTTCACTCTTCTTCTTCTCCGTTCAAGTTCCTGGAGCTCGAATTTCTTGATTTGAGGTAAGGGAATCTAGTCCTTTGCTTTGTTTGGCCGAAAACGAGTTCTAAGAACTCTTTGGTGGTAGGGTGTTTGCTGCATTTGAGCTGAGAACGATTGAAATTGCTGATTTGGGGGCCTTTCAGGTTTTTGGGGTTTTTGGAGAAATTTCGGGAAATTCCTTGGATTGTGTTTGCATGTTGAAACTGAGGCATTTTTATTGATATTTGATGAGATTGAGAACTTTTGGCTGGATTGCATGCTGGTTTTCTGTTAAGTTTTGCAGGTTTTGGGCAATTTTCGAACTTGGGGAGAGTTACTGATGAGTTCGCGCTGGGCGCTGTTCTTCGCGTCGGGCGTGCAACCACTAGGAGACTCTGTTTAGGCAAGCCCGCCGGGTGCAAAACTGTGTGCGCCGGGCGAGCTTGCAAATGAGAGTCTCTGGTTGGCCCGCGCCGGGCGAGACTTGGGCTGCGCCGGGCACGATATCAATGGTGACACGTTTGGGGTACTATGGTGCCGCGCTAGGCATGCGTTTGGACTCGCTGGGCGCGGAGGCTCCTTGGGGGTCTCTGCCAAGAGGGCGCTGGGCGCAATGCGAATTGCGCCGGGCGCGAGACCTTGGTAGGTCTCTGCTTTCCCCACGCTGGGCGCGGGTTAGGCCTCGCTGAGCGCATGAGACTCCTTAGAGTCTCTGCCTGACAGGTGCTAGGCGCAATTTGGAATTGTGCCAGGCGCGTGAGAGCCTTGGACTCTCGGGTTGAGTCTCGCCGGGCGCGAGTACTCTAGCGCTGGGCGCGATGGCCCCTAGTGCTCTCGGGTTGAGCTGCGCTGGGCGCGACCTCGAGTGCACCGGGCACGAAAGGAGATATTGAGATATATGATGTTGGCTGTTGAATTGTGCTGAGATTGTTAGTCAATGTTGTTATATGCTGAACTAAGTTGTATTTGATGAACATGCTGTGATGACTAGGTGATAGTACTGAGAAAATGATGTGAGGCTGTAATAGGGATATATTGTTGAGCTGGAATTGATGAATTAAAATGAAAGACTTTATAGTATGGTGGAACTATATAGAGTGTTGGGCTGAATCGTGAAAATAAGTATGTTGAATTGTTGTGTTGTGTTGTGCTGTGTTGTGCTATGCTATGCTCAGTGGTGTGATATTATAGCCGCTAAGTCGGTGCTGTATTTAGCCACATATGTGGTGCTGTGATAGCCGCTAAGTCGGGGATGTTGTTGCCGCTTTGCGGTGCTGTTATAGCCACTTGAGTGGTGTTGTTATTGCTGCTGAGCAGTGCTGATATTACTACATTGCGGTGCTGATATTGTTACGTGTTGTGAGTGGTATAAGCTGTACAGGTGTGCTGATAGCTGTAGCGGTTGTTTATCATATTGATATATATTTGTATGTTGATTTTTAATTACACTAGCTTACCCTTTGTTGTTTCCATGATGTTTGGACTGCAATGATCATACTATGTATGGGAGCAGAGCAGGGATAGGTGGGAGTCTTGTGGTGAGTCTCCGGCAAACCGGTGGAGCTGATCTCTTTTATGATTCTTTTTGTTGTTGAGCTACTTGGGACAGTAGTATATGATTGTATTCCTTTTTGGTACACTTTAACTCTGTTTCAGATTGGATCATGTATATGTATATTCTAGACTCTATATGTATACAATTGTTCTTTTCTGTGTGGTGTTTCTAGTGTGTTGTGCCGTGTGTAGTGACCAACCGGGTCGTTACAAAAATCTTAAACTACATTTATTGTAAGAGGAGAGAGTATTGACTTTATTTTTCTCTTTTCCTTTTTATTTTTGTTAATTTATTTGAAATATTTTTTTATCCTTTTTAATTTAGAAACCATTTTGCATACATGTTATTCTCTCACTTAATGTCAAATAAATAAATATGTCATTTTACATCAATCAGCTAATTTACTATTTAATCCTACAAAAAACTCTTGACTCAATTAGTTAACTTATAAGCTTTTAGTTTTTCAATTCCTAACTCATAACTTATAAACTTTCAGTTAGCTTATAAGTCGACTTAAAGCTTATTAATTAGGTCTACCAAACACAACATTTGTAATAACCTATGCTTCCCTCTTTTTATTCCACTAGTAAGAAAAAAAAGGTACTGTGTTCTATAAAAGAAGAGAAAAAAAAATTCTTATGATAACTAGTGGGATACTTATTTTTTATTTATTGAAATTACAATGACAACATTAGAGTTCAAACCTAGACTCTTGTGCATATCACTCACCAATAACTAGGCCAATCTTAGTAGTTATTTGAGAACACTAAGTAATAACATAATTTGAATACATGTATTAAGGATAAAATGGATAAAATAATTGTGAGTACTAATGTGGACTTGTCCTCTTTATTATCGATACACATTAGTGGGTGAAATTATGAACATTATTTTTATTGGAAAGCTTATGTACTATATTTCTTCATTTTTTGGGTAATTAAATGTTTAGATTATGACAAAACAAAAATGCAAAGTCAACCATCAAACTCTTAAAAAATTTTCAGCAAGATTACGAATCATTTATCTCGTATGAACACAAATTTACATAAAAAGATATAAAATAAAAAGAAAATAATTGGTTCACCATTGGAAGATCACTATATATATCTTTAGTAACATATAATTCAACATCTTTCTTACTATTATATATATATATATATATAGAGGAGGGTTCAAACGACACTGGTGTAACTTTTACTAAGTGTTACATCGCTCAATAACTTTATATTAAATGTAAATTTTGAAAATTCAACCGTTAGATTGAAAGTTCATATCTCTTAGATCATATATGTCAAATTTTGTTAAAATTGAACAACAACTTGAAGGTAATCAAAGTGTTCATATTTTAGTATATTTTGAAATGTATATATTACGTCAATTTTGTTTTATAAGAATGAAGTATCAAATCATCTTAGATTAATATAAAATT